CCTAACATCACACACCCAAGGGGTAACCTTAACAGCAAACCCATGAGGTTAACAACAAACACGTAAACTTAACAAATGTATAATCATTCCGAAAAGTGTATCAAAAATTAATAGGTTGATAACAGAGCGTATCATCATCAAGTTAAGTAAAACATAAGGGAATTTACAATTGATGATAACTTAGGGGCTGATTGCTCCTCCCCTGCTTCCCTTGCTCGAAGCGCAATCGTGGGAGAAACCCATGTCGCCAGGAAGGGTAGACCCCCCAACACCTTGGGCCTAGAGAAATCGTTGCCAGAGCTCTTTCTCCACAGTTATTTGCCTGTCGTCCAAGTCACTTCAATCAATTCCGGGTTGGCACGGGGAGGCTGCGTACGCTGGCTTTGAGGTTGGTCAACAGACATGTCGATGGGACCAGCCTCATTGTTTGTCTGCTGCTCACCGTCCCGACCTACAATCTGAGTGATGACGAAACCTTCCATCAGACGAAGGTCCATAGGAGAGGTGTAATAAAACCTAATCCTCTTAGGGACATCCGAATATTCTCTAATCTCTAGCAGCACCCTGCAGTCTTTGAAGTTTGTTTTCGTGGTGACGTCAGCGGAGCAGTACACACATTGGTCGATGCCCTTGAATAGTGATTGGAAAAACTCCCACTCCCAGAGGTGGTAGGGGAGATTGAAGAGGCGAACCCACGTAAACATGGGGTTGGGCAATGTTCTTAGCCTGAGGTCCTCCCTCCAAAGCCTGAATCTGCCCACGAAGGACCCAAGATTTACAGGACTGAGCTTGATGGCTTGATCTAGTAGCTCATCAGAAGGGAATTTAACCATGAACCTATTTACAGATACCCACTTGATCTTATAAGTCCAATCCCAGAAGTTAAAGCGATACCCTAGCATCTCTCTGAGCTCCTCTAAAGGTGGTAGACCCACCTCAATAGTGAGGAGAGCGAATGTAGAAAGCTCCTGAATGTTGCTGGCGACATTATCTAGCACGAGGAGTAATCGTGGGGAGGCGTTTGCTCTTAGACCATGAGGGCAATCCCGGGAGATATGCCACGAGCCATGGCAATGGATACACGTGCTATCATCGTGAGACATGATCTTCTAGTTTTGAAACAAAGGTCGTGTAGTTGATAATGAGGCTGGGATGAGGATAGAAGGGTTTTATCTTGTGCGCAAACCTGACGTAGAGAATAGCGATGATGGGAAGATTGATGGTTGCGTCGTATGATCTTGTCATTGAACAGGAGAAGGGAAGAGGGTAATTGCCGCGTGGTGGCTGGGAATAGCGAGGAGCCAGGTGATAATACTACCTGTCTTGGGAATATAATCTACTATGGAATGCATTTAATGCAGAGAGAAACCCTCTCTTTTCTCTTGATCACCTGGCAACTAAAAGACTGAACTTAGCTACCATTCTATAAGCTTGACAACAGAGCGCTAACCTTAGCAACCAATCCATAAGCTTAACAATACAACGCCAAACTTCACAATATATCGGAGAGCTTGACAAATAGCACATAACCTTGACAGCCAGTCCATAATCTTAACAACAAAACCATAAACTTAACAAGATAACCTTGTATCATGCCACGTCCTTCTTTATAATCATGCAACAACCTTAACAAACAAAAAATAAGCTTATCAACAACCTCGTGATCTTCTTAACAATTCCCTAAGCTCAACAACACGATGACGACTATTACAACCTTAACAACAAACAAATAAGCAAAACAACAGAGCTAAACATAATAACAAGGAGCTGAACTTAGCTACCATTCTATAAGCTTGACAACAAAGCGCTAACCTTAGCAACCAATCCATAAGCTTAACAATAAAACTCCATACGTAACAATAAACACATAAACTTAACAACCAGTCAATAAAGGTGACAGCCAGTCCATAATCTTTTTGATAAAACGATAAACTTAACAAAACAACCTTGTATCAAGAAGTAATTTTCTTTACAATCATGCTACAACCTTAAAACAAACAAATAAGCTATACGGTTTAACGTAAGCCAGATGACTATCTCCACCAGCATATGCTTGCCTTCCCATGTGATTCACGTATGAGCCATCTGAATTCATTGTATTCACTACACTTATGAATCATAAATGGGCGTTAATGTACAAAATCTTTGGAGAAAGCCACATACATTCACCCATAGCTAATGGAACTAAGAGCAAAAACATAAGGGGGTAACGTCTTCATCAGCGTGAGGGATATCCAAGATCTTCATCAGTGTGCGCAAACCTTGTCGCCATGACCTTCATCGGCATGAGGACTAGCATTGATCTTCTAGTTAATGGCAAAAGGAGAACTTAAAGGTTTTGAGGAGAGGGTATAAGCTCGGGCTTCAGATATAAAGGATAGAGGGTCAACAGAGAGTCGGCGATGGAGAGATCGAGGAAAGATTATGCCGAAAGGATATCTGTGCTATCTTGTAGTTGAACAGGCGAAGGGATGGTGATGTTGCCACGTGGGATGTAGGGATAGGTAGGAGTCCAGGTTATATTAACTCTACTCCTTAGGAACTAGGAGGAACATTAAATACAGTAGCAGAGAATATACCTCGGTGACCGTGACAACCAAGCACAAGTGAATAACAGTAAGGGACATAACAGTAAACATAACATTCAATCGATAAACCTAATAACCAAATAGTAACCTTAACAGTCAATCCATGACCTTAACATTTATAATGATATACTTGACAATAAATCCATGTACATGACAATAAAACGTTAAACTACATAGGCTCGTTACAGCGGAGATTTCTTGGATTTTGACTGTATAATAGCATCAACCATTTAAATGCTAATAACCTTATCTATTCCCCATTGTCAATTCTCTAAGTTCCATAACCTGTGCTTGAATATAAATGGCTTTCACCAAAGAGCTTTCCAGCAGCCTGTTAAGTTCACAGAAAGCTCTTTGGAGAAAGCCATTGCTATTCAAGCCCATCTGATGGAACTTAGAGAAAATGACAGTGGAGAATAGATAAAGGTAATAATATTCAAAAAAGATTGGTGCTATTATATGGTCAGAACCCAAAAATATTAAGATGTCTTCATCAGCGTGAGGGCTAGCCGTGATCTTCTGGTTTATGAGATTGGAGAGGGGAGAGCTTAGGATGATCGAGAAAATAGTGAGGGCAAATAGAGTGGCGGTGATGGGAAGATAAAGAAGATGTAAATGTGAGGAGAGAGGTTATATAGGTTTGTTCTGTATTGGAACAATCTGAGGGATGGTGATATAACTCTACTGCCTTGGGAACTATGAAATGCATTGAATGCAGTCAAATCAAAAATATCTCGGTAACCTTAACAGTCAATTGCAAGTGAATAATAGTAACCTTAACAACAAACAAATAAACTTGACAACCACGTAATAACATTAACAACCAAGCCATAAACTTAACAATTTTAATGATATACTTGACAATTCTAACAATCGGTGACACTGACAACCAAGTGCGAGTGGATAACAAGTGGATAACAGTAAACTTAACATTCAATCGATAAACATATCAACCAAGTCAAAACTTCAATATTAAAGTAATAAACTTGACAACCAAGTAATAACCTTAACAACCAAGCCATAAAACTTAACAATTTTAACGATATACTTGACAATTTTAACAATCGGTGACACTGATAACCAAGTGCAAGTAGATAACAATTGGATAACAGTAAACTTAATATTCAATCGATAAACATATCAACCAAGTCAAAACTTTAATATTAAAGTGATAAACTTGACAACCAAGTAATAACAGTAACAACCAAGCCATAAAACTTAACAATTTTAACGATATACTTGACAATTTTAACAATCGGTGACACTAACAACCAAGTGCAAGTGGATAACAGTAAACTTAATATTCAATCGATAAACATATCAACCAAATCAAAACTTCAACAAACAAGTCATAAACTTGACCACCAAATAGTAACCTTAACAGCCAAGCAATGACCTTATCACTTGTAACGATATACAAGACAACAAATCCATATACACGACAATAAAATGCTAAACTATATAGGCTCGTTACAGGTTGCATGATTGTGACCCTCCACGTTGCATCGAGAGCACTTAACAGGACGGGTGTTCAGCAATCTGTTGTTTATTCGTCTAGTGCACGGTCTGCCACGTCTTTTTTTAGTGAGAGGAGTCTTTAATACTCGCTCTTCTGACGGTACAAAGCGCTTCTCATAATCTGGGATGGGAAAAATGATCGGTGCATAACTTGCTCTGAATACGTCAACAGTCATGTACCAATCACAATATTGCTAAATTTCTCGTCCCATCCATGTAATTGTAGCGTACGCATGTTTGTAAGGAATGCGGGTGATGTCCCAGGACCTGCAAGAACAAGTCCGATTCTTCAAATCTACACGGCAAGTTTTATTGGACTCGACCTCCATAATATATTCCGTCGAATGTTTAATCGCCAAGCAGCTACCATGCTGAATATTATCACACAGCACCATCTCCGCTTCCGGGCATAAGTATCCAGACCATTTCTGACCCACTAGCCTCCTTTCATGCATGCGCTCCATTATTTACTTCCGTATGGTCTCAACCAAATGTAAGATTCGCAACAATCGTGCTTTTCTTATCCAGCTGTTGAAGGACTCAGCAACGTTTGAAGTAACATAGCCCTACCTTAACAACAAAATACTAACATTAACAATAAAACCACAAACTGAACATTAAAGGCCTAACCTTAACAACAAATATTCTAAACTTAACAACAAAGCCCTAGCAGAATAATTCTAACCATAACAATAAAAATCTAACCTTAACAGAAAACTATAGGATAACTCTAACCTAAACAACTATAACGGTGTTGTAATAAAATAACGTTAAAACCAAGCTATCTTACCTTATACCAGGAAAATACGCGTTTGCACATCTCTCCGGGGAGTATTCCATTACAGTGACGTAAGCCCTGTGATTGATCGCTACTAATTCTTTCATGTCATCATCCTATTCAGATATTGTGAACTTATAAGCCGCAGATTGTAACAGCTCGTCCAACGTAGTCGCGACATTTGTTTTGTGCCCAAAATCCTTCATATTCTTTTTGAAATTCTCAACTAGATGTAGAACACACCTTGAATGGAATGCATCTGGAAAGAATTCCTCGATTGTTGCTCTAATACCCTTGTCAGCATCGGAAATCACTATCAGTCGATGTGGAGGTTGGTAAGGATTTTCCCTATCATACAGTAACGTCCATAATCTTTATAAGAACCATTTTTAGTTAACCTCATTCTCTTGGTCGCATACGTAATAAGCAAGGGGAAATATTCACTGGTTGCCGTCATACCCAGTAGCACTAAGTAGTATGCCTCTGTAACGATCTTTAATAAATGTTCCATCCAAAAACAATAGAGGCCTACATCTAGCAATGAACCCTTCAATATAGGCATTATAACTAATGAATAATCGCCTGAACCTCCTGTCATCAGCATCAATAACAACACGACTTCCTGTATTAGTTGCATGCACCATGGATTCATACCTGCATGAATATAACAACAAAGCAGTAGATTTAGCAATGGAGATATAACTATAATAACTGATCTTCAAACTTCACGACCAACACGTATACTTAACGACGAACCAACAACTTTAACAACTACTACGTATAGTTAGCAACCAAAATGTAAGAGTGATTTCAGAAGAATAAAAAAATACGGACCATCTCAGTGAATCGTAAGCCTCATCACCGTCACCGAACAGGTCCTGTTGAGCTGTCTCCTTGCCCTATCACGCTTTACTGTAGTTAATCTTGATGCTAAAATTAGAGAGCATATCGTTCTTGATATCAACTGCACGAAGATCTGACCTAACCTTCAAAACAGCTTGTATTTGGCTAGCAATGAACTTCCTTGATGCCCTTAAGTTGCCAGCATTTTCTCCATGTTGACCGCAGGTGTGGGTAGATTCAAAATTCTTTATGGACATGATAGACAAATTTCTGAGCGGGGAAGCAAACAACATCCAAGGGCAACCATGTGTGTGCTTGAATCGGCAATAGACTCTTATGTGCCTTTGTTCATTGTGGTAAAAATCATACTCGAACCGTTTAGCAATTGAATAGTATTGAAGTGCTAATCTAACTTCAGCAGCACTATCAAATTTCTGACCAACTTTACGTATGGAGGTGTGCCACTCAGTTGGGATCTTTGTTTGGTGATTAAGCATGTCTTCCAGCAGCATGGTCGAGTCGTCGGTGGGGTTATCATTAGGAATACGCTCATCATTATAGGTTTGGGTGAACGTGGTATCTGTGCACCGTGAATTTTCTGTCGGTATTGTCCTGAAGTAGTAATAAAAATACATAGCCTCAGCAACGAACTGATAACCTTAACAACAAACTCATAAGCGTAACAGCCAACACATATCCTTAACAACTAACCCTTATACGTAAGGACAGACTCGTGACCTTAACAACAAACGCATATACTTAACATCAAACACCTTATCGTAGCAACAAACTAGTATACATAACAGCGAGAAAATAACCTTAACAACCAGTCCTTAACATAACATTGACAACCAACACATTACCTAAGCAACCAATGCATAAGGTTAACAACTAATGGCAAAACCTATCAGTGAACTCAAAAAGAAATTTGGAGTGTAATTCCCACACAGTTTCCGGTGTAGTCTGCGTGTTCCGTGAAGTTAAGGATTCCCCAACGGAGGTAGCATACAAATTCGCGTCTGTAAATCCATTACACCGACAATACTCGAACAGCAAATTTAAGTCATCGTCATTGTCAATTGAAATACTAAATTTCTTTTCCCTTTCACATATAAACTTCAGTGAAAGAGATAGCATTGGTATTTTAACCCTTTCCGACACTTGATATGTCAAGCTGATTATTTCTGTATTCTCTTTGATAACGACGAATACACCGTCACCACCTTTCTTGCTTTTTGCCTTCATTACCACACATAGAAGAGATCCATACGCTATTTTATTACAGGGAGTAGTTGAAGAATCGAAAAGGCTTTTATTGAGGAGAATTAAGTGGAAGGAACAAATTAGTTGAGGTAATAGAATGGGGAGGAACTCAGTGATTTTATTACGGCTGGAAGGGGAATATATCTGGTGATAATTTTAGACCCCCCCCCCCCCAAAAAAAAGGCATTCTAATCAACATTTAATGCCTACAGTCGAAATGCTATATTTTCGACGTGAGAGGGAGACGAACACATTTAAACGAAAGGGTATTTTGGGCATTTCGAGAGGGGTTTAAATGGAGTTACGCCTGAGGATTCGTTTTGGGGGCTGAAAAAAAATCATGAGCGATTTTGGGGGCAAAGCACCCGTTAAAAAAGTCTTGGGGGGAGCACGTTTTCTTGTGTTATGGGGGCTGGAAGCATTTTCCCTTTTTAATATTGTATGGTTTTCTCATATCCATTTTGTATCTACATATATATCTGCATATATAACGGCATGTATATATGTATCCATATCCAAATTTGGCAGATATGGATATGAGTTTTCCTTACTAAGGCATACATGTATCCATATCCGTGATTGGTAAACGTATATGGACATGAGTTTTCCCTACCAAAGTATAATTGTATCTGCATCTTTATCTGTGAATGGTAAATGGATATGGATTTTATAAGTATCGTATTTGATCCATATCCAAACTGAATGCACCTTTGATAATAATGTTGTCACACAATCTTTAATTGTCTTACATTCAATAATAATTTATTTGCAATCAAACACTATATTAATTTATTTGCGAGGCCTAATGATACGTACTGTCACACTTCGTAAAAAGGCCACTTGCACAATGTTAGATTCATTTTCTATTTAAGAAACGCCCCTAAGCCCAAGTGAATGGTGGCCAATAAGACCTATAATATCAATCCAAACAGCCTTTCCTCTTTAATCAGGTCTGTTTTCTTATACTCCATGGCTAAAATTCCTAATACTTTACTTAAATACCTGTTAAAGTAAGAGAGAGAGAGAGAGAGAGAGAGAGAGAGAGAGAGAGAGAGAGAGAGAGAGAGAGAATCTTGCATAAATTTCTTTTGAGTTGAATATTGAGTGTGCACATATATTTATACAAGTAGAGGAGGGTGAGGTGTGTTCTCACAAGCAATGTGGGACTAAAACCCACTACAATACACTATTATCAACAGAAGCAATGTGGGACTAAAACCCACTACAATACACTATTATCAACAGCCCCCTTCAAACTCATGTTGGATTAAACAAAGTGAGTTTGTGTATAAGAAACTGGAACCGATGAACAGGTAAGGCCTTTGTGAAGAAATCTGCAGGCTCGTCGGTGGATGAGACATGAGGAAGTAGAATTGTCTTGTCCTTGATAACTTGGTGACGGACAAAATGAGTGTCAATCTCAATATGTTTGGTCCTTTTATAAAATACTGGATTATTAGCAATATGGATGACACTCCTATTATCACAATAGAGAGGAGTAGGAGTTATAATAGAAATACCAAAATCACTGAGAAGGCGACGAAGATGAATAATCTCTTTAGCTGTTATGGACATTGTATGATACTCTGCCTCGGTACTGGAAAGAGAATTAACATCTTGTTTTTTACTTCGTCAGGAAATAAGAGAATCACCAAGAAATATACAATAACTTGTGGTAAACTTTCTGGTAGTGGGATCACCAGCCCAATCAGCATCAGAATGTGCACAAAGCTCTAACTTAGATGTAGAAGAAAATAAAAGAGAGTGAGTGCTAGTACCCCGGAGGTACCGAAGAATCCGTAATAAGGCAGCATAGTGTACATAACGTGGGGCACTAACAAATTAACTAACAATGCCAATAACATGAGAGATATCTGGTCGAAAGATGCACAGATAGACCAACTGGCCAACAAGATGTTGATATCGGGTAGGATCAGATAGAGGCTCACCATCAGTAGAGCCAAAGTTTGACATTCTGCTGGAGTGGAGTATCGACAGTTACATCATCAGTTAGCTCTGTAGACGTCAAAAATGCTTACAGACATCCAAATATCACTCAAGACAAAGAGAAGGTGATAAACATCAGTATCTAAGTCATGGGAGATCATACAAGCCCAAAGGAAGCAAAAGGATTTGTGAATCAACACAAAACAATGTGAATTCACAGAACAATGCAAACTACAGCGTATGGGCGCGGCAGCTCATGGTGCCGCGGCTACAGCGCGGCAGCTCATAGTGCCGCGGCTAAGACGCGGCAGTTCATAGTGCCGCGGCTTGGGCGCGGCAATCCATGGTGCCGCGGCTACTATAGGGGATGCTACAGCGGTTACGAGGTAGTTATGTGATGATTATGTGAAGTCTACGTGGCGGCGTATCAGAAATAGAACGTGTGCTGACGTGTACAAGCAGTTAAACCACGAAAAAGGTGGTTAAAAGTCGTGGGAGGACAGTTTCAAGCACGATGGAACGTGCTGGTAACTGCCCCTGTGGCCGCTGCAGTTCATGCTGCCGCGCCAATAGCCGCTGCAGTCCGGGATGTCGCGGTCAAAGGGATAGTCGTTGATCGGCTATTTCTTCAGTTATTGTCCAAGGAGGCTATAAATACCCCCCTATGGACATCATTGACGGGGGGCTGAGCATTTTCCAGAGAGATTAGAGCAGAGAGCCTTGAGTTTTGGTGAATTAGAGCAAGAGAGAGAGTCTTCCTTCTTCACAAACATCCTCAAGAAGCTTCTAGCGAGTCCTAGAGATCTAAGCTCAGACTTGATCTTTGGAAGAGTGAACATCTTACATCGATAAGATATTCGCTTCAAATTCTTACTTCGATAAACGAAGGAAGAATCATTAAACCCCTCACGGTTCAATCAGAATCTGTGATTTGGTGGTCCACGAGTCAAAGCGCTCCCGGCACAGGCAAAGATCCCACGCAAGCAGCGATCCAAACAACGGTCCTGCGTTTGTTTCTCAAGAGTTGTAATTTTCCTTTTGTTGTGTAAAAGAAGTCTTATAAAAAGACTATTTCTTTTGAATTTATTGTAATCGACCGAAGATATAATGAATTCCACAACGAAACCAACTTTTGACGCAAACAAGCTGGCGACCACAGTGGGAGCCAACGGTCTCGCTGCCGAGACCGTCGTGTCGCAGCCGATCAAGATTCCAGTTGAATCCATGGTCGAATACGAATTCGACCAGACCAAGTTTGAGGAATATCTCTCATCATCCTCTTCAAGATCTTCATTATCTCGCAAGTACAAGAGGATCTCACAATTGAGGAAGAGTTGCATGCCAAAGAAGGCACAAAATGAAGACTCTCGCTTGATTGTTGCTGAGAATTTCACTCGCAACACCTCTGCTCAAAATGGCTCTTATCTAATTGAAGAGTCATCGAATCAAAGCCCGACGACATTGACGAAAAGAGCTCGTCAGAGACAGCGTCAGCGTCTTGCTCGTCAAATAGCTAAGGCATTTGAACAAACCGACGGAGTTCGTTATTATGCGGACTTAGAGTCGAGGAAACAACAAGTGGTTCGTTCAACGCAACGACGAACTACTCACGTTTCTGCACAATTCACAACGGAGGAATGGACACTCATCAAAAGGGCTCGTTCGACCCTCCAAGAACGTATACAAAAACGTCGTGCAAACGTTGTTCATGCCCGTGCTCTCTTACAACAAAGACGAGAAAGGAGGAAGGAAACGGTGACCAAAGAATCACCAAAACTCCGCCAAGTTTGGATTCTGAAGTCTGGACTTATGCAAAATCAGCATTCGGAGCCCGTTAAGACTCCATACCCACAAGGGGGTGGTTCTAAACGTGCGACTCCCGACATAACCTTGGATCGCTTAAAGACAAAAATAAATTGTCCTGAGAATGCCAACAAGGTTTTATACTCCCAGAAGAAGACGCATTCACCAAATGATATCGTCATACCTGGGAGATCATACCAACAGACGATACGATTTTTTGGCAATCATACCGATGAATCGTATTATCAAGTTGAGGTTGTGAATAATTTTCGAAAGAGAGTTATTCGAGAGATAAACTCTCGTTGTTCCTGTGCACGACTCGTCAAAACAGCATTATCAGAATGTGACTGTTTCAAACGAGAAATCATCCCACGAAAAGTCTCTGCATTATCAAAGCCTAAGCTGAGACATTTCCGCAAAAGAAAATCAGCTGCCCAAAATGATGAATTCCCTGAAGTCACCATCAACGTAGCTGATAGAAGAAAGTCTAAACAGCATT